CCTGCCTCTGCCTCCTGAGTGCTGGGATTAAAGGCGTGTGCTACCACGCCTAGCACACGCACTTTTTAAAAACACTTAAGAATACAAAATTCTGGCTGGCATGTGGCTCAGCTAATAGAGTGCTTGTCTAGTATGTATCATGTCCTGGGTTCCATCCCCAGCACCCCATAAACTAGGCATGGTGGCACATACGTGTAATCCCAACACTCTGGAGGTAAAGGAAGGAAGATAAGAAGTTCAAGGTCATCCTCAGATATATAGTTTGAGACCAGCCTAGGTTACTTGAGACATGGTCTATAAATAAATAAATAATAAATAAGCAAACAAACGAATGACAAAAACATTCCTAGGCTCCTGTTCTCTAAGAAATTCTAGACTAGGGGGCTAGAGAGAGAGCTCATCAGTTAAGAGCACAGGCTGCTCTTGCAGAGGACCTGGATTTGGTTCCCAGCACCCATATGGCAACTAACAACCATCCTTAACTCCAGTTCCAGGGAGTCTGATGCTCTCTTTTGACTTCCTCCGGCATTGGGTGCACATGGTGCACTTACATACATGCAGGCAAAACACATAAAATGAAAATAAAGAAAAAAATTTTTAACTGTGTAGGTCTGATGGGGTCTGTGTAGGCCTAGTACCCTATACATCTACTATATAAATATAAAAAGTGCCCACTGTAGGTACTCAACAAAATACTGATCCCCTTCCAGTGCCTGGACTATTGCAACAGTTTATCTTCTGGGCCTCTCTTGTAGGCCTGAGGCCCAAGGTGTAGCTGGGGGCACGGTTGACTGGTTTACTGTGGCCAGCCAGTAGTTCCCATGAAGGGAGAGCCTGGAAAATTTCTATAAGCCTGGAGTATTAAAACCATAGTTTTGGGCCACTTCTGTCCTGAACTCCCCAACTCTGCCAATGGAAATCTTTTAAATTGCATTTTTAAATTTTTATTTATTTATTTATTTTTGATCTTTTTGAGACAGGGTCTCCTTGTAGCCCCAGCTGACCTGGAACTCACTATTTAGACCAGGCTGGCCTTGAATTCACAGAGATCCACCTGCCTCTGCCTCCCAAGTGAGTGCTGGGATTAAAGGCATGTGCTACCACACCCGGCTGCATTTTTTTTTTCATACATATAGGAGGGCAAGTACCACCTCAATGTGTCTATTTTCCCATCTCAGCAAGACCAGGAGTTTCAGCTAGAACCCTTAAACTGGCCTTCATTGACTCGTTTGATCCACAATAACCTTCAAACTGTTCTTGGTCCTGATTGGCCAGTGGGGAGATGAGGAGATGGAGGCAGGCCAGGAGTCTGTGTCACAGACTATAAGAGTCTGCTTTCCCCAAGAGATCGTGGTGACTCATATTCAGGCCCTGGCCAGGACAATAACCTACTTCCTCTGCTATAAATTGGGCTGTGATGAAAAGTCATAGGTTGTTAGGATAACAAGAACCATCTCCCAAGTTAAGTGCTCAGGCACAGTCCTGAGACTGGGCACACAGCGGCGAATGAGGCATGGGGGACCTCCGTTCCTGAGGCTTTTAAGTTCTAGTGTGGGATGAGTGCAGATTGTAAACTGACACATAAGAAAACAAACCATTTCAGAGAATGATAAACCGGCTGGCAGCCTGGTGTGTGAATTCACCGGCCTTGGAACAGTACCTAGCACATAGTAGGTGCTCAGTAATATTTGTTCAACGGCTAAAGCTGGGTGGATGGTCAGAGAAGACACAGGAATGGCAAGCCACGGTGGGAGAGGGGTTCCTAAAATCAGGAGGTCTCGGGAAAGAAGAGCCTCAGATGCAAGATTGGGCAGTCCAGCCCCAACAGCACTAGAGAAACCGAAAGGAGAATCAGGAAGTCCTGGATGTTGCAAACTTCACCGAGCAGTCTACACAGGAGGGGAGTCTGCTTCTGCGACTGACTTTCTCCGAGTGTGATATAGTTTTGGAATTTTCCCTCCAAGTGTCCATCCCCCACCCCCAGATGCCAGCTGGGCCCCTGGCGAGCACTTTCTGCGGAGTCCAACCTCTAAGTGCCCTTCTGCAAATCTGCCCGCCACCAGTCCCTTCCAGAGGCCTGCACGGGGTGGCGGTACACAGGGTGGCGGTGCACCGGGTGGCGGGACTCCCAGCCCGGCCCAGCCCAGCCCGGAAGGCCTGCGCACGCAGCTGGACTAGCCCCGGCCAGGTCGGGGCCGCTTGGGTGAGGGCGGAGCAGGAGGAGCTGGGCCGGCCGGGTTCCCATCGCAGTCCCCATCGGTCACCGTCGCCTGCAGGTATGTGAGCCCGGAGGCTCGAGGATCCCCCAGAGAGCGTCCGCTTCGCTTCCAGACCCGGAAGTTGCTCTTAGGAACCGGGCCCGAGGGGAAACTGAGGCCGGGGAGCACGCAGGCGCGTCCTGCCTGGCAGCACAGTCCAGGGCACCAAGCCACTCCCCTTCCCGATGGATAAGGGGCGGGTCTGCAAGGAGAGGAAAGGGTCTTGCCCAAAGTCATTCGGGGTCACTGGGTGTCCCCTAGGCTCTGCACCCCTCCGCGCTGGGGGCTCCGGGCGCCCGCTCCCTCCATCCCCATCCGCGCCCCGGCTGCCCCGGCTCTCCGCGGACTCCGGACTGATTCCCAGCAGACTTGGGGAGCCCGGGGAAAAGCCCAGCCCCCACTCCGCGGTGACAGGGGCGTGGCTTCTCGCCCTGCTGCTGGCTTTTACCAGACTGGGGAGATTTCCTGCTACTTCCGGAGCTGATTTTACAGCTGGGTAAACTGAGGCTGGGGATGAGATGGGATGATTTTCACAGGATCATGCAAGCAGGGCAGAGAAGGTAATCAGAGTGAGCTGACTGTAGAGAGGGACCCAGTGTTAGGCACTGACGTCCCTTCAGTGTCCCGTGGAGTGACAGCAGGGGGCAAAGCCTCGCTAAATCTGTCTTGATCTAGAGGCCCCTGCCGCCTCAGAGCAGGAGAGAACCCTTAATTTCTCTTTCCCTTAACTCGGTGTAGGTTACACTCTGCAGAAAATAGGAAACCCCATGAGACTTTCCAGGTACCATTCATTCATTCTAGTAGTTATTGAGCACCTACTGTGTGTCACTGCTTAGGTTCTGAGGTCATTGCAGTGAACAGTCCTTCCTCAGGAGTATCGGGGAGGGGGTGGAATGAAGCATCACACCTCAGTCTAGGGCTGGACATTGGGCAGAGAGACAAGGGCTACTGGTCTTTTTAACTGCCCCAGTGTGGGGAGAAGGCAAGGAATTGGGTCCCTTCTAGATGTTAGGACAGCACCATGGCTCTGACCCTCTGAGCTGCACTGAAAATTTCTGCCAGCTTCAGTTTTCGGATCCTCAAGGAGAGTCTCCTGGACCCACGAAATGTCCTCAGTTAACTTTGGAGCCTAGAGATCTGGGGAAGCCTGGTACTACCATGATATCCTCTCTGTGTGACCTTGGGTGTCTCCCGGTGCCTCTCTGGGCCTCCATTTCATTATCATACCACAAGGATCATAAAACCTTTTGATGCTGATGAGACTATCAAAATGCTTTTACAGTGCAAAGTGTAGCTAATCCCAGAGTCTTTACCAAATCAAGAGTAAATATAAATATTTAATTTCAGTGCTGGGGAGCAAGCCCAAGCCCTTGTGTATACTAAACACACTTTATGCTGAGTTACACCTTAAGCAAGCAAAGGTGGATTTCTTTAGATGCTGCCTGTGCTCCCAGTAGAGAAACCTGAGAGGCAGAGGTGAGGGGTGGCTGAGTGCCAGGTCAGGAGGTTGAGGCTCCCCCTAGGGCCGCCAACAGATTCACTCGGTATTTCTGTTTTTTCTCCCCCTCTGGTCTCATAGGGAGTCAGACAGGCAGTCTCCTGAGTGACCTCTCTGGAGTGCCTCAGACTCATTTGCAAAACACCTGTCTGCAAGGTTGGCAGAGGTCCAAAGGAACAAAACAGGACAGGAACAAAGCAACTGGCATCTACTTTGACTCTGTAGGCCCAAGCCCCAAGGTGTGGCTAGGAGGGTGCGTCTGACTGGTTTAGGTTACTGTGGCTCAGCCTGTAGCTCCCATGAAGGCCTGGAGAATTTCTATAAACCTGAAGCCATCTCCCTACCCAGATACTATGACTGGGAAGACTGCATGAGCTCTGTGGGGCTGGCAGACACCGGGCCCGAGGTTAGGCAGTTTAAGCCAGGGTGGTCGAACATGCCTTTAATCCCCTTGCCCAGGAGGCAAAGGCAGACCAATCTCTGTGAGATCGTAGCCAGCCTGGTCTACTTGGGGTGGTATAATTGTTATTCAAAAAAAAAAAAAAAAAAAAAAAAAAAAATCAAACAAAAAGCAAAACAAAAAAAACCATTTGGCAGTTTAACAGTCCTCTTATATGCCCTGAGTGTATAGGCTGGTCTTGAACTCACTATATAGTCAAGGATGACCTTGAGCTTCTGATCCTCCTGCCTTTACCTTCCAACTTATGGAATTACAGGCATGCACCACTGTGCCCAGTTTATTCTGGATAGAACCCAGGCTTCATGCATGCTAGGCAAGCGCTCTACCGAGTTAGAGCTCCAGGCTCTGTGTGTTTCATGAACATTGTTATATAGCATGAACCCGGTTTGCACAGGAGCGGGGACTTGATTCGTTGAATGTGTTACGGTAGGCAGAAGAGGGCTAGGGGACCGGGGCTGTGGAATCCAGTCCACTTTCCATTTAACCACCCTCTATTAGCAACAGGACCTACATTGTGATGCCTTCCACTGCCCAAAACCCTGAATGGTCTCCTACTTTCTTAGAGTAAAAAAAAAAAAAATCTGTGATGTGGACATTAAAGTCACCTCTAGTTCACCTCAGAGCACCTTATCAACAGTCCTCTGCCCACTCCCTGGCTTGGGACCTTTGCATGTGCCTTTTTGAGCTGTGACTCTTCCCCCTTCTTCCTGGGAAATACCTCCTCATTCATCGGGTTTTTCAACAATATTTTATTATTTTTATTTTACGTGTATGAGTGTATTGCCTGCATGTATGTAAGTGCACCTGTGTTGTGCAATGCCCGAAGAGATCAGAAGAGGGGGTTGGATTCCCCAAGAACTGGAATTAGGGATGGTTGTTAACCATCATGTGGGTGCTGGGAATCGAACCCAGGTCTTCTGCAAGAACAACCAGTGCTCTTAACCACTGAATCATCTCTCTAGCCCCTAATTTGGTGATTTTAGAACTGTGTTTACAATCCTTAGAGCCACCTCAGAATGTAATCTCTCCCAAGAATACCCAAGTAGTATAGAATTAGCTAGCATGTCTGCCTGAATCAAGACCGAAGTGCAATTAAATGGGCTGGGAAATGGCTCAGTCAGTAATGTACATGCTGCTCAGGGACCCAAGTTCAAGACCCAGAATCCACATTAAAGAAAGAGAGAGAGAAAAAGAGAGAGACAGAGACAGAGACAGAGAGAAACAGAGGGAGAGAGTGAGAGCAAGAGAGAGACAGAGACAGAGACAGGCATGGTGATACAGGCATGATTGTGGTACATGCATGTAATCCCAGTGCTTAGAAGCTAGAAACAGGCAGATCCCTGAAGCTCAATGACCACTAGTCTAGCCAGTGAAAGATCCTGTCTCAAAAAACACAAGATGAATGGCTCTTGAAGAAAGACACCTGAGGTAGATCTCTGGTCTCCACACACACATATGTACACTCACGTACATGCATATAGGTGCAACTGCACACATTTACACACACACACACACACAGAAAATACCACCTAACCTCTCCAGCAACCTTGACTTTCTTTTTTTTTTTTTTTTGGTCTTTTTGAGACAGGGTCTCCCTGTAGCTCCAGCTGGCCTGGAACTCTCTATGTAGACCAGGCTGGCCTTGAACTCATAGAGATCTGCCTACCTCTGCCTCCTAAGTGCTGGGATTAAAGACATGTGCCATCATGCCCAGCAGCTGACTTTCATTTTTCAGGCCCCCCTCCTATCTAAGAAATGGGATTAGAAGCACCTGCTTCTAGGATTGTTGGGAAGAGAGGGGACCCAATGCCCAAAAAGGGACAGAACATGGCCAATCATTGCTGTCATTTAGTTGTGATAACTATATGTTGTAGTACAACATTGACATCTCCACAGTTGTCAGTGGACAGTTTAGTAATGGTAAGCATAGTCACATCATTCCACAACAGATCTTTAGAACATTCCAGTTTACAAATCCATTCAGTGACAACTCCCTGTTTCCCTGCCCCGAGCCCCTGGTAACCACCAAGCTCTACTTTCTGCATCTAAGGGTGTAATACTGGAGGGATGTATGTCATTTAAGGGCAGTGATGCAGTCTTTTGTGATTGGATCCTGTCATGATGTCTTCAGGATAATGTTATAATGTTATAATTTTCTTCTCTTTTTAAAGCTGAATAATGTTCCTTTGTAGGCACATGCCAGGGTTTGCTTACCCATTCATCAGTAGATGGATCTTTGAGTGGCTTTCACCCCTTGGCCACATCTCTTTGACAGTCTGCCTCTGTTTCTTTGGTTGCACTGTTTAGAGTCAGGATTGCTAGATCACCTACTGGTATAGTTGAAGTGGGATGTGGCAGGCTCTACGCTGGATATACTCTGGGTTGTGTGGAGAGGAGAAGGCCCTGGGGCCCTGTGGAGCAGTTTGAAACACAGTGGGTAAAAGAAAGTGTGATCAAGGCTACCATCCCCCATCCTTCCTAGACAGATTTGCATCGGGTTATTTTTCACTGAGCCAGGAAGAAACCACCCTGCGGCAAATGTACTTAAATGCCCATTGCACAGACAATAAGCCAAAAGCACACAGCGGCAAGTGGTTTAGTGACGTCAACCATGAGAAACACTGAGGGCAAAGCTGAGCCTCGGGGGAGACAGAGAGACCAGAAGCTGGCAACAGATGGCTTCCTGTGGTCATCTGGGGAAAAGCATTCCAGCAGAGGGAACAGACGGTGCAAAGGCCATGGTCCCACACTGAAACCATGTCTGAGGGGACTGAGGGACAGCAGGACAGTGTGGCAAGAACAGAATGGGGGAGGCGGAGAGAAGGAAGGAGGGTAGAGAGCCATGGAAACAGGCTGCCTATGGCCTGTTGCTCTTTTTTGTTTATTGACATTTATTTATTGTTATTTAGCACTTGTGTGTGTGTGTGTGTGTGTGTGTGTGTGTGTATGTGTGTACATGCACTTGGCACAGTGTGTGTGTAGAGGTCGGAGGACAACTTTCAGGAGTCGGTTCTCTCCCTCCACCGTGTGACTCCCAGGGTTCGAACTCAGGTCTTCAGCCTTGGTGGCAAGCGCCTTTACCCACTGAGCCATCTTGCCAGCCCAGCCCTGTTACCTCCCTGAGTGACTGAGAAGGGAATCCTCAGAGGGTTTGGAGCAGAGAAGGAATGTGGTGCGACTTTTTAGGGGACAGCACGATCTTCATGTTGTGTGACGAATGGCTACTGGTAAAGCCATAAAGGAACAGGTAAGGAGGCTCCATTGTGACCCCTATGAGAGATGCAGGTGGCATGTCCCAGGCCCCAGCAGAAGCGGAGGGGAGCAACAGAAAATATGGGCATGGATCCTAGAGCCTGTTGCACCGTCCATCTTTCCTTCCTGGCCATCCTCGGGCTGCTGAAGGGAGGGTGGTGGTACCTTTCCTTCCGGACCAACATCTTTTCCTTCTAGTATGTAAGGTGATTGTCTTGTGTTAGAACTGTTACCATGGAGACTTCCTACGACACTTCATTTATCTCTGGCTTCCAGTTATCTTTGAGATAGAGGTGTAGAATCAATGGTACATTGGGAATCCGGGACAAGCAGGGAGGCCTGGAGCCCTTGCTTCTAGAAGCATCTCGTAATTGTCTTCTGCCTGTCTTTCTGGCTTTCTTTCTCTATGTCTCTCTCAGTCTGTCTCTCTCTTTCCCTGCATCATGTTTCAGTTGTAATCTTGAGTGGATGCCACTGCAGATCTGTGTTGGAAAGGACTTCTTGAGATAAATGCCTTTCTCTGGCCCATGCTCAAAGCCACTAGTCTCCAGCCTCCCCAGACACTGCAGCCATCTCGCTATTGGATTACACTGTAGAATCATAAACATTCAGCTGTGACCAGAACAAGGCAAAAAGGAGAAACACCCCCTCCTGTGCATATACGCAAACACATTCCTGTTGAATCTGACCTCGACTTTCACAGATTGCTCCAAGAGAGAGAACAGGCCACAGCTGGAAAAATACTGGGAGTTCTTTCCTGCATGGGGTCTTCTAAAGGCCCAGGTCATGTCGTGTTTGGACAGTTTAAATCATGGTACTAACTGTACTTGATTTCCTCCCCAGGGATGGCTTTGGGATTTTTCTTCTCTCTAAGAAGAAATCTCAGTGCCTTGTTTATGGAGCCAGTCAACCAACACCCACTGAGTGTCCAGCACTAGAGCACTCAGGGCCAAGGTCTGAATCTGAGGAATGACTGACTCAGTCCCATGATTGACAAAAGCCATCATTTTCTTTGGTGCTAGGCAATGTGCCTAATTAGATAAAAGTCATAGTTGTAGAGAATCAGAATGGGGTCTCTTCCCTACCCATCATGGGTCTGGTCACACAGCCTTACTGTGGACATAGCAGTTTAGTCAACACAAGTTGTTTCCCCGGCAGAAGGTGTTCTAGATCAAATATGAGCCTTGCTTAGTGTCCTGGGTGTCTTCACAGTGCCTGGGAAGGGACACGACCCCCAGGAGGCTCTCGATGGGGGATCCTCCCTCTACCATGACCTCCTGCCCCTGTGGGATACAGGTGTGTCTCTTTCTTGCTAAAGGAATCAAGCAATATCGTAAAATCAATGGCTTCTCACATACACTTGAGGATCTCAGGTTAACTGTGGGCAGGATCCTGATCCTGAACCCCATCAAGGGGTGGAGGGTCCCCAGGACCAGTGTACACAGTTTAGGTGGCACACATACACTCCTCAGCTGGCACCACACTCCTTATATGAAGGAGAGATGGGCAACCCAACCAACCACATAATCCAGAGCTGGAACCATTCCCACATCATGGGTGGCAGAGAATTGCCTGTCTGTTGTAGTAACTCTTGTCTGTTTTGTTATGAACAAGACCTATTAGTCAAGTAACAGGACTTAACAGTGACCTCAGCCCCACTGGGTTGGTTGGGCTCTATGGAGCCAGGGCTTTCTAACCTAAAACATTCCCCTTCTATGGCGAGTTCAAGTTTATTTTTATTTTATGTGTATGAGTGTTTTGACTGCATGTATGTTAAGTATACCAGGTGTATACATGGCTTTCGGAGGCCAAAGGAGAGTATTGGATCCCTCAGGACTAGAGTTAGTGTCTTCTAAGTCATTTGTTTCCTCTGCATTTTTTTCATGAGATTGGATTTGAATTGCCTCATTTTTAGAGATTCTCATGACTTGGAGCAAGGTGATATGAGGGAGTCAAGCTTATCAGTGATGAGATCCTGAAAATTCTGAGTTTACGTAAGGAAGCAAAAGTAATATTCCTTACTGGGTGTAATCTCAGTGCTTGGGAAGCAGAGGCTTGAGGACCAGGAATTCAAAATCGTCTTTGGCTACATAGCAAGTTTTAGACCAGCTTGGGCTACATGAGACCCTTTCTGAAAAAGCAAAAAGTCATGAATATATATATATGTCTATGATATATTTGGGGGCAATGAGATGGCTCAGCGGGTAAAGGTGCTTTCTACCAAGGCTGACACCCTGAGTTTGATCTCCAGAATTTGGGCTACATGAGACCCTTTCTGAAAAAGCAAAAAGTCATGAATATATATATGTCTATGATATATTTTGGGGCAATGAGATGGCTCAGCGGGTAAAGGTGCTTTCCACCAAGGCTGACACCCTGAGTTTGATCTCCAGAATCCATATGCTGGAAGGAGAGAGCCAGCTCCCTCAAGTTGTCCTCTGACCTCCACATACCTGCCATACTGTGTGTGCACACATCACACAAACACACACATAAAAAATATTTTTTTTTTAAGTTCCCAGGACTGAGGAGATGGATTGGTAGATAAAGTGCTTGCTGCTCAACCATGAAGAATGTAATTCAAAGCCCCAGTACCCACATAAGAAGCCAGGTGCAATAACATGGGCCTGGAATGCCGGTGGTGGTGAGGCAGAGACAGGAGGGTCCCTAGAGCTTGATGGGCAGCCAGGCCAGCCAATCAGTGACCTCCAGTTTCAATGAGTGACATTGTCTCAAAAAATAAAGTTGGGAGTGACTACATACACATGTACACATGTACACACACACACACACATACACACACACACACACAGATATTCCTGTTCCCCAGCATTAAAAATGGTCAATGACCAGGTATGGTAACTCATACCTGTAATCTCAGCAGTCAGGAGGCTGAGGCAGGAAGATCTCAAGTTTGAGGATTGCCTGAGTGACTTAGGGGACCTGTCTCAAAATATATATGAGGGGGCGCTGGAGAGATGGCTCAGCAGTTAAGAGCACTGGCTGCTCTTGCAGAGGACCCAGGTTCAGTTCCCAGCACCCACATGGCAGATAACAACCATCCATAACTCCAGTTCCAGGAGATCTGATGCTCTTTTCTGACCTCCATGGGCGTTGCATGACACAGGTTCACTTACATATATGCAGGCAATACACTCATAAACAATAAAACTAATACATAAAATGATTTATAATGTGTGTGTAGGATTTTAGCTCACTGGTACAGCACTTGTCAAGCATTTGTGAGGTAATACTGTAAAAAAGGGACAGAGAATGAACCTCAAATTGTTTAAAGTTCTAGGGTGCCCTGGATTGGAGTCCTGGGTCATCCTTGAGTAATTCTAGACTCTTAGTTCCATCTCCTTTTCCCATCTGATGCCTAACTGGAGTGTGAGAACAATTTCCTTCAGGGAGGAAGAGCCAGGGAAATCTCAGTCTCTCCCTCTTTCCTTCCCTCTCTCCCTCTCTCCTTCCCTCTCTCCCTCTCTCCTTCTCCCTCTCTCTCTCCCTCTCCTGAGCCCGGGTCACTGTCTCATTCATAAAATAGATATTTTCTGGGTACCTGCTCTGGCAGACTCCCCATAGACTCCAGGACCTGGGTATGGAGGTAACATCTTCCTGCCTTGTGATGCCCAGGCTAACCCAGGGACTGGGTACAATCATAGCTTGAGGCACACGGAGTTCAAATAGGGACATTGATGAGACAGTCCATGCCATATGTCTGAGCTGTCAGTGACCAGTAAGTGGAGGCTGCCTCATGCATTGCGGAGACAGGCACCCCAGTCAAGGGACCCTCAGGGGCATAGCGCAGGGGCTGAGCCAAGGCTAACTACTCCCTCCTCCCCATTCCAGGTTCCACACTGTCTGGACCCATGGCTGGTTTTTCTGGTTTGTTCTCTAGAGCAATTTACATATTCCCTTGAAGAAACATCAGAGGTTGAACAACCTGTCCTTGGACTTAGACAGAGGGGTGACCTGCAGTTTTTCTCCAAAGCTGGGTAAGGACTGTGAAGCTTGCTTTTGCCGCAGAGTCCTACTCCTTACTCTGTGTTTGTCTGTCTCTCTGTAGCTTAGAGTCCTTTCATGACATTGTTGTGTCATAGTCACCTCTGTGTCCCCACCAGGTAGCCCGGTGCCTGGTACCCAGTAAGTACAGGTACATACTTATTAAATTAATAACTGGTTATATTGTAGTGAGGATGAATATTTATGACTGACTTGGATCCAAGAAAATACTTTTAAATTTCAACAGCACCATTCTTAAAGGATTTTTTTTTTTTTTTTTTTTTGAGACAGGGTCTCCCTGAAGCCCCAGCTGTGCTGGAACTCGCTACGTAGACCAGGCTGGCCTCGAACTCACAAAGATCTGCCTGCCTCTGCCTCCCAAGTGCTGGGGTTAAAGGTGTGCGCCACCACGCCCAGCTAAAGGGATTATTTTTAACTTTTGTTTCAAAATGATTACAGATGCTTTTTTTTTTTTTTTTTTTTTGAGACAGGGTCTCCCTGAAGCCCCAGCTGTGCTGGAACTCGCTACGTAGACCAGGCTGGCCTCGAACTCACAAAGATCTGCCTGCCTCTGCCTCCCAAGTGCTGGGGTTAAAGGTGTGCGCCACCACGCCCAGCTAAAGGGATTATTTTTAACTTTTGTTTCAAAATGATTACAGATGCAAAGGAAGTTGTAGAACCAGTTTGGGGCGGTCCCATGTCCCTTCATCCCCTTTCCTGCGTGGCCATTGCCTTTGCAGTTGATAGGTGTCTTCCCTAGACAACTGGGGGGGGGGGGGCATGGTCACCATAACAACTTCCCCCAGTCTCAAACCAGCCCAGCCATCCTCCGTGGTCGCCCCCTGGCGGAGCCCTGGCTTCCTTGCACTTCTCCTTGATTCTTTTAAAATTTTATTTTTTATTTTATGTGTATGACTGTATTAGCTGCATATATGTAAGCTCACCCATGTCATGCAATGCCTGCAGAGATCAGAAGAGGGAGTCAGATCCCCTGGAACTGGAGTTACAGACGGTAGTTAGCCACCGTGTGGGTGCTGGGAATCAAACCTGGGTCCTCTGCAAAAGCAGTCAGGGCTCTTAACCGCTGAGCTATCTTTCCAGCCCCCTTCAATTTGATTCTTTAAAACTCTAGTCTCTCTTCTGCCTCATGGTCCCCTCTGCCCAGAACATGCCCTTCCTGTTCACCCAGCTCAGTCTGATTCACCTCTGTTTATTGTCCAGGTCTAAGTCTAACCCTCCCCTTCTCTAGAACTTCCGTTTGGTACCTTCCACCTATTATGTTCCTGGCACAGTGTTTATCTGGCCCCTGTGTGTTTTCTTGTCTATATTTCCCCTCCCCATCCTCTCTGTGGGAAAACAACCCCTCCCCCGCATCCATCCACACAGGTTTCCTCTACCTCCTCCCTTTCCATCTCCCTCAGCCTGCCTGATTTCTGGTATCTTTAGTGCCCTGTTAAGGATCCAGATTCGAGTGTGAATCTTAGTGTCCTCGCTCCCCACACTTTTTTAAAAAGATTTATTATTTTTTATTTTATGTGTTTATGCCTGAATGCATATAAGTGCACCACGTGCATGCAGGTGCCTGCAGAGGCCAGAAGAGGGCATCAGATTCCCCGGAGTTAAGAGTTACAGGTGATTGTGGTCTACCCAGTGTGGGTGCTGGGAACTGAACCTGGGTCCTCTGCATGAGCAATAAACACTCTTAACTGCTGAGTCATCTCCCCAGCCCCGCCCCCCACCTTCTTAAATCTGTAACTTTGATCAAGTTACTTAATTTTTTTTTTTTTTTTTTTTTTGTTTTTTTTGAAAAGGGTCTCCCTTTACCCCCAGCTGTCCTGGAACTCACTATGTAGACCAGGCTGGCTTTGAACTCACAGAGATCTGCCTGCCTCTGCCTCCCAAGTGCTGGGATTAAAGGCATGTGCCACCACGCCGAGCTACTTAATTTTTATATCACTGTGTGGCATGTTATCACCTGCCTCCCACCAAAATGGAAGTCTATTCATTCATCAGGTATGTTTGATGCCTGCAGTATTCTAGGCCTGCATAGAATACTGAGGGGACAGTAAGTAAGCCCCCGGGGTACCTCCCCGTAAAGCTTGCTTGTGTGTGCACAGGTGAGCCCACCTGTAAAAGCCTACTTTTAGTTACTAATAAGCATTAGTAACATAGAACAGGGTGCTGGAACAGAGCGACAGAGACACTTTAGCCTTGGTGGTCAGGGATGGCTTCCCAGGTAGCATTCAGGCTGAGACCAGATGTGATGTCAGGGGAAGGGTATTCCAGGCTGGGGAAAGGAGGGTAGAGCAGGTGTAGAGGCTCAAAGGAAGGGACTGGCTTCCATATACAACAATAGAAAGGATGGGGCTGGAGAAATGGCTCAGCCTTTAAGAGCACTGGCTGTTCTTGCAGAAAAACAGGGTTCAAATCCCAGCACCCACACGACAACTAACAACCATCTATAACTCAAGTTCCAGGGGATCCAACATCCTCCTCTGTCCCCCTCAGGCACTGCACAGCATGAGAATACTTACACACATGCAGGCATAATACACACTTAAAAATAAGAAAGACTGCAGTTGTGGCTGGAGAGTGATAGACAGGTACAGGGGCACAGGATAGGATTGGCAGCAGGCAAGAGATAGGTGGGGATGCCTTGGGGAGCCTTTAATCAGGAGAGTGGCAAGATTGATGTTTATGACACAGAGGCCACAAGGCCACTATGTAGAGAATGTTTTCTGAAGGTCAATACTGTACTATAAAGGATAAGCGAGCAACTTTGGCCTGAATGGAGTTGTCTGTGTTTAGCACATTCCTCCTCCCCTGTGGTTAAAAGCAAGCTGGCTCTTGTTTCTCTGAGCACAGGCTGCTTTGTTCTCAACCCAGAGCTGACTGGGACTCCCCAGATACTAGCCCAGTACAGTGCCATCTTGGGCTCCCCTGGGTAATAGGTGCAATTAACAAAGCCTCGAATTGGTGCCTGGGCTTAATTAAATGTAATGTAGCTGGGCAGTGCCTAGGCACTGGCCTTCCTCATGCTTTAAGTCCCCTCGCCCCACCATGTCATGGGACTGGTCCTCCCACCTAGACTGACCTACTTGCAGTCTCCAAGGTAGGTTCCTGGAGCCACCACTGGAGGCCAGTCTTTTTAAAAAATATTTTATTTATTATTTTTATTTTATGTGTATGAGTGTATTGCCTGCATATGTGTGAGTGCACCCAAGTCATGTAATGCCACATGGAAGTCAAAAGAAGGTGTCAAATTCTCCTGGAAATGGAGTTACAAATGGTTGTTAGCCACCCTGTGGGTGCTGAGAATCAAATCCGGGTATTCTGCAAGAACAGCCAGAGTTCTTAACCACTGAGCAATCTCTTCAGCCCCTTATTTTTATTTTTCAGACAGGGTCTCATACATCACAGCCTGGCCTTGAACTGGCTGTGTAATGAAGTTATCCTTAAACTTCTGATCCTCCTGCCTGTACTTCCTAAGTGCTATGATCAGAGATGTGCCTGGTTTATGCAGTGCTAGGAATGGAACCAAGGGTTTTGTGCATGTTAGGCAAACACTGAGCTACACTCCCAGCCCACACTTAGCTTTTATTATTTATTACACCTGTACTATGTTCTAGTCACTAATTAAACATTTCTTTACTGAGTGTCTATGCATTCCGTTCCTTTAAAATTTTATTTATTTATTTATTTATTTATTTATTTATTTATTTATTTTAGGTCTTTTTGAGACAGGGTCTCCCTGTAGCCCCAGGGGCTGGAACTCACTGTGTAGACCAGGCTGGCCTGGAATTCACAGAGATCCGCCTGCCTCTGCCTCCTAAGTGCTAGAATTAAAGGTATGCGCCACCATGCCCAGCTAAAAATTTATTTTTATGTATATGAACGCTTCATCTGAATGTATGTAAGTGCACCCATACATACAGTGCCCAAAGGGGCCAGGGCATCGGATCCCCTGGAGCTGGAGTTACAGATGGCTGTTAACCACCATGTGGGTGCTGGTAACCAAGCTCTAGTCCTCTGTAAGAGCAGCCAGTGCTCTTAACCACTAAGCCATCTCTCCTAACCTTTAACAATGTGAGTGCTGTGGGTTCCGTAACTGAATCTTGGGTTCTCTCCCACACAACTACACAGCCCATTTGTCAGCGGAGATGTGTAAGTGTGGCAAGGTTAAATTCCTGGGTCTCCTGTTGATCACTTGGAGGGGATAGGATTCCCACCCAGGCCCATCTGGCCCTGGCTTGTGTTCCAGTCCCCAATTTTCTGAAGTCCAGGCTACATTCTTCCCCATGACCATTACCAGTGCCTGCCTGCCTCCCAGATACATCCAGGCTGGGCTTGTTCCCTTTCTCCTTCTCGTTTCTCTGTGCTTCCCCTCTCCCTCTCCTTCCCTTGGGAAAGAAGGAAGGAAGGAAGGAAGGAAGGAAGGAAGGAAGGAAGGAAGGAAGG